GAACACGCAGCTGGTGCACAGGGTGCATGAGCTGGAGGCGATGGTGAAGGATCAGGAGACCACGGCCGAGCAGACGCTGGGGGAGGAGGCGCGGCGGCACCGTGAGGGCTACAGCAAGCTGGAGAGGAAGAAGACCACCGAGGTGGAGCTGCTCAACACCAGGGCGCAGCAATTGGAGGAAAAAATACAGAATTTAGGACAACAGTGACTTGGCTCAAATCTCAAACAGAGAGACTGGATGAGGAGCGGCAGCGCATGTCCGACCAACTGGAGGACACCAGCCTATGGCTCAAGGATGAGATGGACCTGTACAAGCGCATGATAGACAAGCTGCGGCACAACCGCCTCGAGTTCCAGAAGGAGCGGGAGGCGACACAGGAGCTCATCGAAGACCTGTGGAAGGAGCTGGAACACCTGCAGGGTACAAGCTGGACTGCCAGCGGCCGGGCAGGGGCCACAGCGCATCTGGCCTGGGCGAGTTCAATGCCAGGGCCTTGAGGTGGAGCTGGAGCATGAGGTCAAGCGGCTCAAGCAGGAGAATCATAAGCTGCAAGATCAGAATGACCACTTGAATGGACAGAACCTGAGCCACAGCCTCTATGAAGCAAAGATCCTCTTTGCCACCCAGACCAAAGCCCAGTCCCTGGCTGCGGAAATAGACACAGCCTCAGGCAACGAGCCCTGAGGAAGCCCTGAAAGAGCAGGAGGAGATCAACTTCTGGCTGAGGCAGTACATGGACAAGATTATCCTTCCAATCCTGGACCACAACCCCATCCTCAGCATCAAACACTGAGACATGGACGCTGGCTACAGAGCAGCCTCAGGACCCTGGGACGGAGGGGCAGACCCTGCCCAAGGATGCAGGCCCAGGCTGGGCCTCACACTCACACTGTCAATGTACCTCTGGCCACCATGCGTTGTGTGTCCTGGTGTATTTGTGGGGAGGCCGTGTGCATGAGCCAGGGGTGAATGTGGGGCCGTGGCTGTGGGTAACGTGTGCACAGTAGCTGTCCATGCGCTTTGTGGCCCCTTTGCAAGGGTCAGAGGGTTCTGGAAGTGGGAGGGGGCAAGGTCTGCTATCAGGAGTTACTGTAATAACAAGAACTGGAAGCTTGTGTTTCAGGTACTGGATAAAAATGATTCTACCTTTGGGGATAAGGATTAAAATACACTCTAGTGAAAGAAAAAAAAAAAAACTAGCAGGTAAGCACGATACAACACACCTCCTCCCAAGCTTCAAGTAAAATATTGGTAAGGCTTAAAACAAAAAACTTAAGGTTGCAAAGACCAGTTAAGCATATGGAAACATAATATTCAAACATCATTAAAATGAAAAAATCTTTCAAGATCTGTCTCGGTCTAAATCAGAGATCTGGAGTTGTGTCCTCAAGGAACTAGCCTCAAATAGCTCAGTGCCTGCATAACAGCTTTCTTTGTGTTTCCATTGCTGGTCCACTTACTTGCTTTATAATTCTTCCTTACCTGAATGACTTTATTAGCAATAAAAAACACATTAATATTGCCTTAGGAATTAAACTAATTAAAAGCTGACTATCAGCTATACTTATTCTATAATTTAATTTCATCTGTTTCTTCATATATATTTGCTTTTACATACAGAATTTATCACCAACCAGATATCTCAGGATCCCTAATTTATAAAAGACATGCATAAGAAAAAACATTTTGATGATATGCATAAAATCACAACCACAGTAACTGGACCATAGTTACACTAATTAAGAGATGAGGAATCTATGTTCATTTATAAGTGATTACACAAAGGAAGAGAAAATATGGGTTAAGTAACAAAATAACATTAATTTTTTTATATAAACAAATTAGATATTCCAAGTTCTTCAAAGTTTATGTTGAATAAACAGGTCAACGTGAAGGAGTAAATTTAAAACTTCCACATGTGCTCCTTTGGGTCCTTTTGCCTTGGATTTTGTTTCCTTTGGAATCTTTCCATTTTGACATTGTGTAAACCTGGCCACTGTAGAAACACCATCCACAAACTTGGTTTTGAAAAGAACGTTTGCATTGTTAAACATACTCTTTTAGGGACACCACAATGAACTGAAAAAGTGTGGGTGGTGCTGGGCTTCAGGTCCCTGGAGTCAAGAGCCACCTCCTCCAGGGGATGGCGAGAGGAGCAGCCACTGCTGCCCTCTGGGTCCTGTGCCTTGGAGCACCGGGTGGCCGCGATGAGGGCGATGCTCTTGGTGCCCACGGCCATCTCCTGGAGGGCCTGAGCACTCAGGGCTGTTCTGCGCTGCTGGCTTCCCCTGCCAGCCTCAGGGTGCTTAGCTCCGGGCCGGCGGGATACAGGTTGGAGACCAGGCTCTTCAGGCTCGGGGGGGTTGGCTTCTCGCAAACTGGTGGGGTTAGCAGGATGCAGACAGATGGCAGAGGGAGAAGACTGTCTTGCTTTCCTGGTTTCTTTGATGATGTGGCTTTTGATGACTTGTACCCATCAGTGTCTCTCTCCAGGAGCATCAGAAGCTGCTGAAACTGGGTGCCCCACGGGAGGTCCTTCCTGTCATCTGGCTGGCCTTGGCTGGACTCCTCCAGCGGGAGAGATAAATTCAGAACAGAGCCATCCCAGAGGGCGCTGGACATCCACGAGTGCAGCAGCAGCAGGCGGTTCAGCGTGCCCTCGCTCAGCTCCCGGGAGTACAGGCCGTACCGCTTGTCCAGGGCCTCTGGCACCGGGATGCCACCGTCCCGGATCAGCTGCCAGTGGTCGCGGATGACCTGCTCGCACACGGTGCTGGTGGTAGTGCTGGATCACGAAGTCCTTCTGGCACAGCAGGTTCTTGCTGCACAGGTTGCTGCCCTGCAGCGCCGTGTTCTCCACCTCCAGCTCGTGGCCCCTGCACGGCAGTCGCAGCACCTCCCGCTGGTCCTCGCTGGTCACCTGCCTGGGCAGCAGCTTCTCCATCTGAGACACCTTTTGCTTGGCGGTGGCCAGGTGCCGCTCCAGCCCCGCCTTGAGGGCCGCGGTTTTCCGCTGCTCGGCTAACAGCCGGTTGACCTCCTCTCTGGCCAGAGCCACTTCGTGTGGCTCCGAGGACTCGTCCCAGTCCTCCTTGGCGTCCAGCGGCTCCTCACCCTTCTCCGGCTCTCCGCTGGCCCTGGAGCCGTGGTGGGCAGTCTTGTCCCTCTCCCAGTCTGCAGTGGTCAGCAGGTGGCTGGACATGTCCACATGCAGGTCAGTGTTGGTGTTCTCGAGCCACACCAGGCTGCGCCATATCTCCATCTGCTCCTTGAAGGCCCTGTTCAACCATTACTTGACATAAGGGAGTTCATACTGAAGAGAAATCATATAAATGTGGTAGAGGCTTTCCCCAGGCATCACAGCTCAGTAGACATCAGAATATACATCTTCGAGAGAAATCACACGAATGTAATGTGCATGCTAAGGCTCTTACCCAAAGATCAAAACGGAAACATCAGAGTATTTATATTGGAGAGAAACCTTACAAATGTAACGAATATGGTAAATTTTTTAAACCAATTCTCACAACAGTTTACATATCAGAGAAATTTTACTGGAAATAACTAAGTCTATTTTGCCAAGATGGACTTGAAACATTACATACTGTACAATAACTATTAATACAAGTCAAAATATGTTAAAACCCATGATATTATCTAAATCAGAGGAGCAAGAGCATGTGTGGAAATGACCAGTTATCCTCTTTATGTTAACAAAATACAATATTCAATTTGGAAAAAAAAAAAAACCAAAAAAAAAACGAGCATCTTCCCTCAGCAAGTTTGCTTTTCGAAGGGATGCTGCTAGCTTGGACTCCGGCGGTCAGGGTTAGGTGGTGGGGAGCCGTGAGGAAGAGAGCGGCCAGGTGGATCAGAGATCAGGATTAGAAACTTCAAGGCCATTCTAGGCCTCTTCAGCCTCTCCCGATGCAAGCAACAGCAGCAGCAGCCCCAGAAGCAGCACCTCTCCTCGCCTCTGCTGCTTGCTGTGTCCCAGGTGGCCGGGGGGCCCCCGCCCAGTGCCAGGGTGGCACTCCTGAGCCATAGCTGCCAGCCCCTCCCCAAGCCCCGTGCCTGCCTCACCAGCCAGCGCCACTACCGCAGTCAAAAGCACAAGCAGAAATGCAGTCCAGACTTCCGGGTCCTACCATGAGAGCATCCACTGCGGGCAACAAGGCCAAAACATGAGGAGGGTCAGCCTCTGCCAACAACCAACACGGCCAGAGCTTTAACAACTATGGTAAGTCCAAGCCAGTCACCTCCACACCCCCACTGCCAAGCAGCCACAAGAAAGGAAATTTATACAAGGCTGACAGATATATATGGCCCCTCTGACTTGCCCCCTCCCACTTCCAGAACCCTGTGACCCTAGCAAAGGGGCCACAAAGTGCATGGACAGCTGCTGTGCAGACGTCACCTACAGCCACGGCCCCACACTCACCCCTGGTTCGTGCACACACATGGCCTCCCCACAAAGACACCAGGACACACAACGCATGGTGGCCAGAGATACATTGACAGTGTGAATGTGAGGCCCACCCTGGGCCTGCATCCCTGGGCAGGGTCTGCTGCTCGGTCCCAGGGTCCTAAGGCTGCTCTGCAGCTAGCGCACATGTCTCAGAAGGTTTCCCAGCCAAGGCACTGGGAACTCTGCAAACAGCACTAAAGCCATAACCAGGATGTCTCAACCGGTCACACCTCTTTGCGATCTAGCCCTTGGTTTCTGCCTCAAACCATTTTTTTCCTTTGTCTTCTCTCTCTTTTGTTCCTTCTCTCCCCTCCCTCCCTTTCTTTCCTTTTCTTCACCGTACCCAAGTGTGTTTTTTTTAAAACGTGTGCTTAGATTACAAAAATAATATGTGCTTGTAACATGATACCAAGTCTATATATCAAATAAAAGTTCTCATCCATGTGCTCCTAAAAGAGTACCAATATAAAAAAAAAAATTCCTGGAGGAGAGCGGAGCACCTATTCCTATACCTCCGAAGACAACGGTTAAATACCAGAACTGGCCTACCATGGGTTGTATTTGCTGTGCTCCCCAGTTCATAGTGAAGGAGATAAGGTTATCAGTTATATTTTCCATCAAATGCTCAATGTAATATTAATGTTAGAAGCAGGTGAAGGATCCCATCACACCTGCCTTACTATTACTTCCCAAGTCATCAATCAGAGAAACCAGGCAGTCCGGTTTATCAGCTCACTTGTGGATGAACTGAGGGAGAGCATATTCCCAGTCCTCCATGTCTTACTGCAGCACATCTGTGCCAAGGGGACAGATAAATCAGAGTATCGGACCTCTGCAGCACAGGCCCTGGTCCGGCTGCTCAGTAAACTTCCCTGTGGGGAGTACGCTACATTCATTGCCTGGCTTTATAAATATTCACGAAGTTCCAAGATCCCACACCAAGTTTTCACTCTTGATGTGGCCTTAGCTGTGTTAGAACTGCCTGTAAGAGAGACGGATAACACTCTCTCCTTCTAGCATTGGAAGTTCCTAAAGCATAAGTTCTTGGTGCAGGACATTATGTTTGACCGTTGTTTAGACAAGGCACCTACTGTCCACAGCAAGGCGTTGTCCAGCTTTGCATATTATCTGGAACTGACTGTTACCAATGCATCAGAGAGTATGTTGGAATTCCTAATTAACAGTCCTGCAGTTTCAGGAATAGACAGTCACCCTGGTACCTTACTGAGAAATTCCCCAGCTTTTTCCTATCAATGGCAGACAGTTAACCGTTCTGAACCTCAGGGGATGTCAACATAGACAGTGGTGGTGAAACAGTTGGATCTGGGGAAAGAAGTGTCATGGCGATGCTAAGAAAGAGGATTAGGGATGAGAAGACCAACGTTAGGAAGTCTGCACTCCAGGTGTTAGTGAGTATTTTGAAACATTGTGAAGTCTCATATATGAAGGAAGACCTGTCAATTCTGCAGGACCTGTGTCGAGACCCTGCAGTGTCTGTCCGGAAGCGGGCCCTACAGTCTCTTACTGAACTTCTTATGGCCCAACCTCGATGTGTCCATATTCAGAAAGCCTGGCTGAGGCGGGTAGTCCCCGTGGTGATGGACTGCGAGAGCACCGTGCAGGAGAAGGCCCTGGAGTGCCTCGACCAGGTCCTGCTGCAGAACATCAAGCACCACAGTAAATTGCACACTGGGGACGACAGCCAGGTGCTGGCTTGGACACTTCTTGCTCTCCTCACCACAGAAATCCAGGGACTGAACTGCTATCTAAATAAAGCTTTTCATATCTGGTCCAAGAAAGATAAATTCTCACCCACTTTTATAAACAACGTGATATCTCACACTGGCATGAGACATTCTACACCAGCCTGGATGCTGCTCTCCAAGATTGCTTGCTCATCACTCAAGCTTGACTACACCAAAATAATAGAGCCCTGGGAGAAAATCAGCAGTCAGCGAATCCCAATTCTGACACCTTCGGAATGTATTATTGGGCATATTGCAAAGCATCTTCCTAAGAGTACCCAGAACAAAGTGACTGATGTTATCAAGGGTAAGCTGAATGGATTTTAGTGGTCTCTAGAATTGATGAGTTCAGCTGTTGACACCCTGCAAAGGCTTTATAGAGCATCTGCAGAGATAGCAGTGGAGGAAGAGGAGCTCCTGAAGCAGGTGTGTGGGGATGTGCTCTCCACCTGTGAGCATCGCCTGGCCAACATCGTTCTGAAGGAAGGTAGAGCAGGAAACCTGGATGAAGACCTGCTGGTGAAGTACATTTTTACCTTAGGAGATATAGCCCAACTATGTCCAGCCAGAGTGGAGAAGCGAGTCTTCCTTCTGATTCAGTCCCTTCTGGCTGCTTCCGCTGATGCGGATCACTTACCATCATCTCAAGGCAGCAGTGATGATGCCCCAGCATGTCATGCACCCTCCCAGGTCAGAGGCTCTGTCATGCCTTCTGTTATTAGAGTGCACGCCATCATTACCTTAGGTAAGCTGTGCCTACAGCACGAGGATCTTGCAAAGAGCATCCCAACCCTCGTGCGAGAGCTTGAGGTGTGCGAGAACCTGGCTGTCCGCAACAACGTCATCGTGGTGATGTCCAATCTTTGCATCCACTACACTGGCGTGGAGGACAAGTACATTCCCAACATCTCCATGTGTCTGAAGGATTCAGATCCATTCATCCAAAAGCAGACACTCATCTTGCTTACCAATCTCTTGCAGGAAGAATTTGTGAAATGGAAGGGCTCTCTGTTCTTTTGTCAGCACTCTGATAGATTCACATCCAGACATTTCCTGCTTTGGGGAGTTTTGCCTGGCTCATCTGTTGCTGAAGAGGAACCCTGTCATGTTCTTCCAAGTACTTCATCGAGTGTATTTTCCACTTCAATAACTATGAGAAGCATGAGAAGTATAACAAGTTCCCCCAGCCAGAGAGAGGGAAGCGGCTGTTTGGACTGAAGGGAAAGTCAAACAAGGAGAGACGAAAGAAAATCTACAAATTTCTTCTAGAGCACTTCACAGATGAACAGCGATTCAATATCACTTCCAAAATCTGCCTTAGTATTTTGACGTGCTTCGCCGAAGGCATCCTGCCCCTGTACCTGGAAGCCAGTGAGTTACTCTGATATGTTTGAGGTCCTCAGCTCAAAGGAGATCAAACTTTTGGCAATGAGATCTAAACCAGATAAGGACCTCCTTGTGGAAGAAGATGACATGGCCTTGGCAAACATAGTCATGCAGGAAGCCCAGAAGAAGCTCACCTCACAAGTTCAGAAAAGGAATTTCATAGACAATATTACTCCAATTATCATCTCCCTGAAGACTGTGCTGGAGAAAAAGAAGATCCCAGCCTTGCGAGAACTCAAGAACTATCTCAGGGAGCTGATGCAGGATTACTGAGATGAAGTCAAGGATTTCTTTGCAGTTGACAAACAACTGGCATCACAACTTGAGCACACACTCAGGCCTGTGCGTCGGGTGCACAGAGCACTTTGGAGGGACCCCTCAGCCTAGCTGTGAGCCCAGGACAGCAGGAGGACCAGCCAGCCCCCTTTGTGTTTACTGTTGTCAGAAAGTTCTTGTGTGTTGGTTTTGGGGTTTTTGTTTTGTTGTGTTTTGTCTGGCTCGTTTGTTTTTTAAGGGGAAAAAAGTTTGTATTTATTTCATCCAAATCTCCTGTGATATATCTGTGAATAATAAGGAAGAGATTTTATAATAGCAGGAAAATAATGTATATTTTAGTTTGTCAGAAAACAAGTCGTCATGGTAACGAAGGACTCTGAGAAAAAATAATTTAGAACCCTGGATTTTGTGAATTTTTTTGTTTTGTGTTTGTTTTCAAATTTGTGTTTAGTTGGGTTTTGTTTTTGCACTGCACTAAGCAGCGTGGTTGGAGGGCTGGGGGCAGGCTGGGATGCGGTGTCAGCAAGAGACGGGACGTCCCTGGGTGGGGGGCTTAGCACCTGGGGCCGACGTTAGCTGTGAACAGAGGAGCCGGACGCATGTGGGTCGGGGGCCCGGGGTCCCCACAGCTGGTGGTGACCCCCAGTGTAACATGGACTGTACACTTACCAATGGGTTTTTTCAGACCACAGTTTTTACTGCAAGTAAACCTAGTTGTTTTTTTTTTTTTTTTTTTTTTGGCCTATAGAAACAATTTATTGCCAGGGGCAATGGGGTAAGAGAGGCCAGAATTTTGCAGCCACTACCCACGCCACCCCCAACTCCTACTTTACAAAAGAAATTTTTACAATCACCAGCCTTCTGTGTAGAGTACCCCCAACCCCTACCTCACCATACACAGCTGCCTGGCTCCCTCTGGTCCCTGGTTCAGAGCAGGCCTGGGCCTGCAGCCAGCTGACCCTGGAGTTGGCCTGAGCCCTGAACTCACCTTAGTGCTGGGCATCATGAGGCCCCTGCCAGGCCTGTCCTCTTGTTTCAGAGGAGTCCTCAGCCCCATCTTCCTCGGTGTGCCTCTCAAGAGCCCCAGTGGGGCAACCCATGGGCCATCAGCCCCAGTCCTGCAAGCTGTCTTGTCACTGAGATGGGCAGTGCTTGGTCACCACTTTCCCCTCTTGCTTCAGTCCTTAGGAGTGAAGTGCAGACACTTGGAGTCCATCCAAAGGAGCCGCTTGAGCATGGCCCACTCACACCCATCCATGATGTCCTCTGACAGTGTGAGGATATACTGGCCCTTGTAGTAGTTGATGAGGTTGAAGTACTACAGCGTGGAGATGACATCCTCCTTCTTGATGCTGGTGATTTCACTGATCTCATTGATGGTAATCTGTGGCCTCTGCTTGCTCTCTGACTTCAGCCCCATCAGGATCTCCAGGATGGTCTGGGACCAGCAGCTTGAATAGGATAGGAGGCCAAGGTCTGAGAGGGGCTTCTTGGGGGTCCCTGTTTTCCATTCCACTTTGTCTATTGAGTGTCTGTTGAAATTAAATGGGCCCCCAAATGGTCAACATAATCAAGAAGAAATAAAATAAAACTGGAAGATCCACAGTACCAGACATCAAAACTTGTTATGAAGCTGTAGCAATTCAGAGAGTGCAGTATTCGTATGAGGCAAGACAAGTAGGACCGTGAAACAGAATAGAGAATAAAAAATAGACTGATACAGATTCATATGACAAAGATGGCCTGCAATGCAATAGAGAAAGACTGGCTTCTTCAATAAGTTATTTTGGATTCATTGGGTATTCACGTGAAAAGAAAAGATCTTGACCCTGTATCACAATGTCCACACCAAAAAATTAATCAGAGCTAGATTGTAGATATAAATGTGGTAGTGTTTATGAAATTTGTTCAGGTAAAAAGAAAACAGAGGCTAACCATAAAAGTAATACATTAGACTAGTTATTACATTTTGAAATATAAATTTTGCAGCTCATTTTCTTTTATCATAATAAAGATCAAATAAAGCTAGAGCTTAAATAATAAACCTAGAACTTAATAAGCAAATTATAATAAGGAAAATAAAAATTAGGAACCTAAATGAAATTCCTAGGAAAACACTTAAGTTAACCAAGTAATTACACCTACAATCTCAAATTATATAGAGAATAAAAAACATCTTTATAACTACAGCCAAAATAAAATTAATTCCAAAGGAAGAAAAATAAAATTCAAAGCATTAAATATTTTATAAGCGAACACTGATAAATGTTGGTTGTAAGGAAAACCTTCTTAAAGCAAACATCACCAACATCACCCACATCAAAAACCATATTGAAATCGATTGGCAAAATTTCCTAGAACATTAAAAGAAGTAGAGAAAAAAAATTTTTTTAAAGACAAATTTGAAAGCACATTTTACCTTACAATAAAAGAATAAATTAATATTCTTAATTTGTAAAAATATAGAAAAAATTTTAAAAAAGACCATTACCATAAAGAAAGAAATGAAAGTTTATGAACAGCTAATTTACGAAAGGAGATACACTTATGAAATATTTTAAGTGTTTCCTCATGCTTGTTAAAGCAATGAAAATTATGATAGCAATAAAATGTAATTGTTGCTTATATAATTGAAAAATAAATTAGGTATCCACAGAAATTTTTGCAGAAAAAGTCACTCAAAAACTGTAAACAACAACAGAATATTTGGGAATTTGGATATTTTAAATCTCTATAAAAAGATGGTGAAGACACAGTAATACTGAGCTAAAGAGCAAAACGAGGTGATAACAATTTATGGATTCTAGAAATTTTGTGTTGGAAGCAAGCAGTTGTGAGTGTCTGTCAGTCACTGGCGATGGAAAAGGTTAAATCCTCCTTCATTTATCTTGGTATAAATATTAGTTCCAGGAAAACATGACTTATCCCAGGAGGCTTCAAACAAGAAACACACAGGGAAATATGTGTGTGTTTATGACCAACCTTTCCCTGGTCTTCTCCTGTTGTTTTTGTGCTCATCGAGGGAACCTGAAAACCCAAGGGCAATCCCAACCCCTGAGACCCAAACCAAATTAAGCTCCTACCCATGTTAGTTTCTGTTCCCTGTACTTCAGCTGGTTTTGTCCTTGACTAGAAACGGACCTCTGTATCTCAACACTGCATACGTGTTCTTTGAGCGATGCCTTGCAACTCGTGTCTGTGAATCGCACGTGGAGAGTAAAAACATTTGGGGAAAAAACCTCAGATGAGTTTTACTACTGAAATGATTTGCATACTGTAAGGTGAGTTCTTAGAAAGGTAGATTTAACTCAGTTTCCTCTGCTTTCCTTCTTTACCTCAAACTTTCTTTCAGAACTAAGATATTTGGGAATTGTTAGACTTCATTCTAAAATCAGTTATCTAGGTAGATAGAGGAAGAGGCAGGTAGATAGATAGGTAGATGATAACTGAGACAATACAAGTAGAGACTACGTAGCTACATCACAATATTCAAGTAAACATTGACCCCGTTGATTGAGGCTCTTGCCTTAGGTCTTAGACTACCTGGGACTTCACCTGATGAAAATTTTTCATATTTCATCAAATCTGATCATGAAGTTATAGTGGGAATTTGGTCTTCCGGATACAGTAGAAATTTGTTATATTTTTTCCGTTTTTGGAGTCCTAATATCCATGTTGGTAATTCCAATAATCCTGTCTCTGCTATTTATTCTCATATTTGAAAACTACAGCCTTAATGTAATCTAAGCCACATTCCCTGGGCCTTTGCTAGGAGCAGAGATCTTAGTTTCTCTTGTTTTGGTGAACCGCTGTCAGTCTTTTCTCACTGAACAATTAGTAAATATCTTGAACTAAGAGAACATTTTGTGTTTAGTCAAAAACCTCATTTCTGCCTCAATTTCAAGGGTACATGATCCCAACTTCTCTTGACATCAAGCCCACGTAGTCTCCTTCTTTTGACTTAGGTCCATTTTCCTGTCTCAGTCCATAGTGGTTAAATGATAAATACTGACTTGATAGAATTATCTTCTTTTATGAGAGCATTGCCTGGGTTTGTGAGCATGAGGAGGAGGAGAACATGGTGGGGGAAACAGCATCCCTAACAAAGCCAAGGTTAAAAAGTACTTAGACATCTAGGATAGAAAGGTGTATGATAGAAAGCGGGGCTTACTCAGCACATTGTGGTTGGGATATCTCATATGAACATCATCATCTGCTAAACCTCAGAGGGATGGTAAAATGTAAGAGAAACCAGAGACCAGACTTTCATGAAGCCTTGAATTGTGTGGATCATTTAGGACGTTGTGGGGTATCCCAATAAGTAGTTTTGCTGAGATTCCTACCTGCTTTGAAAGATCTGAGAGAACGCTTTTGAAAAGAAGCAGTGTCAGGGAGGAGGGGACCAGTAACAATACCAGGGATCAAATATTCCACAAGACCTAGCTATTAAATTGACAAAAAGTCTCTGGAAACATTGAGATAATTCACTTATTTTTCTCCTTCTAAAATCAAAAAAGGCAATTCTGCAGTACTGTTACAAGGCACAATGTTGTATGATGCACTGTCATTTACTGAGCAGTTATTAAGTGCCAGGCACTGTACTGAGTACTTTAATTGTAGCATCTTATTTAGTCCTTACAGCTTCTCAGTGAGGTCAGTGGTGTTAGTAATGCCAACTAAATTATGAGAAAACTAGGGAATGACTTAGGGATACCGAGGACTGTTGATATATCATTGCTACCAACAAATTCTTGTGGTTTTCAGTTTTCCTATGAACCCTGCAACAAAAATAGGATATGAAAGGTAAGATTGCAAGTAAACTCCAAGACTTCTACCCACTAGTACACACTCCCTATTTGATAACCTCCCTTTGGCTGTAGATGGGACCTAGAATTATGGTGGGATATCAACCCTTAATTATATTATACTACTATTATAAACACTGTCAGAGAAAACTGGAAAGAGATTCTCACACTGGCTTTGAAGAAACTGTCATGTTGTAGACACCAGGAGGCTAGGATCCTAGGTCCCATGGTGGCAACTAGAATAAAACTGGGACCTCAGTCCAAAACTTCAAGGCACAGAATCCTCCAAACACCCTCAGGAAGCAT